CTACTGGGAACAGCTGAGCAGGGATAATGGCTTGACACCCAGGAGGGCGGAGGTTGCAGTGACCTGAGATTGTGCACCTGCCACTGCCAGTTGAGTGAACAGAGCAAGGCCTTCCATCTCATAAATAAATAAATAAGTAAAATAGCTAATCATAGTGGCCAGGCCCTGTAGTCCCAGCTACTCAGGAGGCTTGGGCAACACCTTTTGGAAAAAGCCTATCTAGATCCAACTGCCTTTTTTTTTTTTTTTTAATAGAGAGAGTTTTTGCCATGTTGCCTCTGACTGGTCTTAAACTGCCTGGGCTCAACCCATCTGCTCGCTATGGCCCTCCCAAAGTGCTGGAAGTTATAGGTTTGAGCAACTGGTGCCTCGGCCTACAAATTTTTTTTTTATTTTTTTGAGGCAGAGTTTTGGCTCTTGTTGCCCACAGGCCTGGAGTCAATGGCATGATCTAGGCTCACTTGCACCCTCCACCTCCCGGTTCAAGGCATTCTCCTGCCTCAGCCACCCAAGTATGGGACTACAGGATGCGTGCCACCGACGCCGCCAGCTAATTTTTGTATTTTTTAGTAATAGAAAACGCGGGTTTTACCTGTTTGGCCGGGCCTGGTCTCGACCATCCTTACCTAGGTTGATCCCTTCCTGCTTACAGCCTCACCAAAGTGCTGGGATTGGCAGCCATGAGCCACCGCAAACACCTCAGCATGAAAGATAGGACCTTCGGAAAGCTGACTGAGTCCTGTTCCTCTTTTCTTGGAGCCTGCTTCTTTCATTTAGTTTTTTTTTTTTTTTTTTGACATGGGAGGTCTTGTTGCTATGTTGCCAAGGGCTGGAATGAAAGTGGCATGATCCTTGGCTCACTGCAACTCATCGCCCTCCCAAAGGTTTGAGCAATTTTCCCCTCTCAGCCTCCTGAGTAGCTGATATTAAGGACACCCGCCACCATGCCCAGCTAATTTTTTGTATTTTTGTAGAGATGAGGGTTTCACCATGTTGGCCAGGTTGGTCTTGAACTCCTGACCTTAGGTGATCCAACCACCTCAGCCTCCCAAAGTGCTGGGATTACAGGTGTCAGCCACAGCGCCTGGCCATTGCAGTGTCTTTATATCCAATGCACTCACTTTCTAAAATGCATGGAGGATGTTCTATGTGCTATTTCCAGAGGTCATTTTTGCAGAGATAATGGCATTTGAGAGAAAACACCCGTGGTTTATTTGCTCTTTTCACAAGCTGGCCGCTAAGTGAACTTTGGAATTGACTCTGATACCTATTGGTGTAAAGCTCTGTCCAGGCAGTGCTGGATTACAGCAACGCCAGGTAACTCCATGTGGAAGGGAAAGGCCTCTAGTGAGGTGACCCTCTTAAGTGTATTGCCCAATGCCACAAGGGGGGTCAAAGTCTGACCGTTCCGAAAACTTGTTCCTGTTCCCTTGAGCCACTGTGGGATTTCTTCCCGTCTTTAATCACTGGCCATCATAAGCAGTGATTGGAATCGGGTGCATCCCTTCCTTGTCATTCGCTTTGTAGCCTTGCACGAATGGGCTGAGCTGTGGGTAGTTGCTATCTCAGAGGTCACAGGGATCTCCTGGACACACATTCCATGGAGTCTTTTCCTGTTTCCCTTCCCTCTGACCTCACCGGGTTGTCTGGTCACAGTGTTCCCACCCCATTTATGACATTTTCTCCTCTTTGGTCTCCAGGACTCTATGCTGTCCTGCCTCCTCTCTCTCAAGACTTCTTTGCTTCCTTAAGGAGCTTTGCTCTCTCTCCTCAAATATAGGTGACCCTCAAGGTTTGGTTGGATCTGTGTGGTTGAATCCTTTCCCAAATAGCCTGCTTGAACACTGTATACTAACTCACTTCCCCTCACCCCACCCCTGGGGATAGCTCTGGAGCTCAGATCCCTCAACCTGACCTCTGACCTCCACCACACAGTAGCACTGGCCTGCTCTGTCCTTCCCCTTCTGTGCTCCCACCAACCCCCAAGCTCACCTTTCTAGAGCTAGTCAGCTTCCTACACCCTGGACCCACTCTCTTCATGGACAGCCCTGTTTCCATTATGGCAGCCAAAACCCTCCCATTTGTTAGACTCAAATCTCAGGAATGACCTTTGATCATTCACCTGTAAGTAGTAGTAAGGGTCTTCATTGCATTTTACTAATATCAAGTAACTGTTTTTTTGTTTTGTTTTGTTTTGTTTTAGACAGAGTCTCACTCTGTTGCCCAGGCTGGAGTGCAGTGGCGTGATCTCGGCTCACTGCAACCTCCACCTCCCAGGTTCAAGCAACTCTCTTGTCTCAGTCTCCCAAGTAGCTGGGACTACAGATACTCGTCACCACACCTGGCTAATTTTTGTATTTTTAGTAGAGCGAGGTTTCACCATCTTGGCCAAGTTGGTCTTGAACTCCTGACCTCAGGTAATCTGCCTGCCTTGGCCTCCCAAAGTGCTGGGATTACAGGCGTGAGCCACCGCGCCTGGGCAAGTAACTGGTTTTTGTTTGTTTGTTTGTTTACAAGTAGGACTTTTTGTCACTATTAAAAGTCTGAATTTTAAACAGATACTTGAATTGGTGGTTCATATCTATCAGCTCATTCAACTTTAGCACCTGTCTTGTCCCCAGGAGCTTTTCCAGAACTACTACCTTGACCATGAAGCTCCATGAATTTTCCCAATTCAAATTTAGGCTTCTTCTGCATTTTCATTTTTTCTTTCTTTTTTTCTGGAGACGGAGTCTTCCCCTGTCACCCAGGCTGGAGTGCACTGGTGCAATCTCGGCTCACTGCAACCTCTGCCTCCCAGGTTCAGGAGATTCTCTTGCCTCAGCCTCCTGAGTAGCTGGGATTACAGGCGGATACAGCGCGCCACCACACCCAGCTTTTTGTAGTTTTAGTAGAGACGGGGTGTGTCACCATGTTGGTCAGGATGGTCTCATCTCACTTGACCTTGTGGTCTTCGGCCCGTACTCTGGTGCCGTCCTCAAAGTGCGGGATTAGGCAGGCTTGAGCACCGCCCAGCCGTAATTATTTCATTGTTAAATTGTTAGTTTGTCATTTTTTAAGCCTTG